CACACTGTTCCGACTACGGGCCACTTTTCAACACTTAAGCTCTCATTTAGGGACTAAGTGTCCCAAAACTCTCCGAAACCCAACACCGAACGTCCCGGCAAACCAAAATAGTAGAAATGAACTTAGGGGAAGCAGTTAATAGGGGATCGGGGTGTTAATTCTTAAGATGACCAGCCGGGTCGTCACAATATGTTGGACCTCCAACACACTGGAAGTTCCAACATAATATACTGGAGATGGGAGCACCTGTGTATGAACTTCCAGCATATTATGCTGGAACCCCAGCACACAGCAAGTTCCAACATATTATACTGGAGATTGGAACACCTGTGTATGAACTTCCAGCATATTATGTTGGAACTCCAGCATATTATGAAATTCCAACATGTTATGCTAGAAGTTCACATGTAAAAAATTTGAACTCCAACATAATAGAATATTTCCCGAATTTTGTTCAGATTTATCTTTACATGAAAAGTGATTAAATTTCGATTAATTTTTGAAACTGTGGCTATTTTTCAATTACCACTTGCAAATCTGGCTATTTTTTGAATTTCACCCATTCTAAGTACCTCATTTATTGATGGAGGAAGTAAGGGTGTCTAACGGGCCAGGTTTAACCGTAACCGGACCGGCCCAGACCGGTTAAAACTGAAACCGGCCCGGACCGGTACAAGGGGGCTAGGTTGGGTTGGGTTAAAAAGGTAGGGGGTTGGTCCGTCTACTTAAATTCTACCGGTTAACCGGACCGGTCAAACCCGATCAAAGATATTTACTGTTCAATCGGTTAACCGGCCCGGACCGGGCCGGCCCAGACCGGTATAACGGCTAGCTAATTTTTTATTTTTTATTTTTTTTAATAGTGGGCCTTATTTCTGACCGTTGGCAACGGTCTTCGGCCCTTATGGCCGTTGCCCAACGGCAGATTTTCACAAATAGCCCATTTTGGGTTTTTTTTTTTAAAAAAATTAACACCTCTTTGAAAAACTATAAATTACCCCCCCCCCCCCACTCCCTCTTCTTCATTTCTTCACTCATCTCTCATTTCTCAATCTCAATTCTCATATTCTCTCATTCTTCAATCTTCACCTAAAGTGCAATCAACTATTTGGCTCTTCTTTTTTTTGGAATTTAATTTATTGTAGTATTTATTATTTGAAGTTTAAACAATTGAACTTCAAAATTGGAACAATTGACGTTTCTTCATGGTAACATTGGAGTTGCGAAGCCTCATCAAGTGCTCAAGTTAATGCCGAATTCGGTGCACCCTCTCCAACTTTTTCTCTTATTTACTATTTTATTTGCATATTTAATCTTTGCTAGTAGTTAAATTTTTACAATATGTTTAATGCTGCAAAAAGAGTTTGTAATAAAGTTACTAATCGGGGAAATAAAAAAAGAGGTAGTACGTCTGCTTCAGCATCTAGTAGTAATTTAAATGACTCTACACATATTCCTAAAACATTACCTGATAATAATATAGATTATGAACAATTATAGGAAAATATCAGTATAGAAGATAATGAATTAGAAATGGAAGATGAGATATCACTTACACCTAGTAGTGTTGGAGCTGGTAGCAGGGGTGGTGGTCGTGGTGCTAGTAGTAGACCACCTGTGGCCACGACTACTAATCGGGGAAAAAGAAGTAAGGTTTAAAAATTTTTGACGAAATAGAAGGTACTGATAGAGTTAAATGCAAACTTTGTAATGATACTTTTAAACATATGACTGGAGGACAATTAGAGGGGATTGGGATACTTAGTAGACATATGAGAATTGAGCATCCTATAGAATGGGCTCTGATGGAGATGAAAATCAAGCAACTCTAAACCCTACTGCTGGAGGACTTATGAAATATAATAAAATGAAGGATCGTGAGGAGTTAGCAAAAATGATTACTTTGGGTTTTCTACCTTTTTCTTTTGCTTTTTCATCATATCTTATTATGTATATTCAAAGGATTTATAATCCTTTATTTAAAGGTATCCCTAGAAGTACTTGTAGATCTGATATCTTTAGACTTCATGGATAATATCAAACATACATACGTTGTTTGTTTAGCCACCTTCCTGGTAGAGTTTCTCTAACTTCTGATATTGGCCGTGCTGTTAATGGAAATAATTATTTGACAATTACATGTCATTGGATAGATGATAATTATTGTATGCAAAAACGTATTATCGCTTTTAAATATGATAAAGATCAGAATCATGCTGCTGTGTTTATAAGTACTACTATTTGTGAAGTTGTTGAATTTTATAATCTCAAGCAAAGAGTATTGTGTATGTCTTTTGATAATGCCGCAATTTTAATATTAAAACTGCATTTGCAACCACCACTTGCCGAAATTTTTCATGTTAGGTGTACATGTCATATTTATAATTTAATTGTTAAAAGTGGCCTTGATTTATTTTCAACTGAGATTACTCATGTTAGAAGAGCAGTTGGTGTTATTCAAGGAAATAATAGACAATCTAGAATTAGGGAATTTAAGAATAAGTGTACCGAGTATAACCTTAAACCCAGATTCATGTCAGACGAAATTATTACTAGATGGAATTATACATATATATTTTTAAAATATTGCTACAAATATAGATTCCCAATAACTGAAGTTGCTAATGCACATTGTACTGATACAAACCGTATGTTAACAACTACTACTTGGGAGGTCATTAATGATGTTGTTAAATTTTTACATAAATTTTATGCAGCTACCAGGGGCGAACCTACAGTAATATGTATGGGTTCCCGGGAACCCAGTAGCTTTTTTGTAGATCCTGTATTTGTATTAAGAAATCTGTTGAATATATAACAATTATTATATGGGAACCCAGTTGCAAAATTCATTCTTGGTTCAGTGGTAAGCCGTGAACCCAGGTGCGGCCCGCTTCCCATGTATGCCGATGCGAGTTTGAGTCCCCATAGCTTCATTTTACAATTTCCTTTTATTTTGAGTTGTACTTTCACGAAACAGTAAGGGAAAACCCTCACTGTTAAGTTAGTACAAGTGTACAACTTTCACCTTAATCTTTTTTTTAAAAAAATAAAATAATAATAATAATAATAGATGACTAAAGTCAACCTACAAAAAAAACAACCAAATAAAAAACTCCCAAAAGTTACTTTATCCCAAATACCCAAATCAAACATTAAAGGGAAAAAGTTAGGGTTTCAAATATCTATTGCAAGCACTGGTTCTTGGTTCGTCTTCTTTCCTCTTCAACTTGACTTTTCTTTTGATGGCTATCAATTGTAGAGGAAGGGAAAGGGTTTCCAGTTGTTCTGATTCACGGATTTGGTACTTCCGCTTTTCATTGAGGTAATTCTGTCTTTTTGTTGTATGGCATTGAGTTCATAAGATTTAGTGGGATAAAGTTGACATGGTGTTCACAACATTCAGTGGGATTATATTCTTTTTTATTTGATATACATTTGTTCTCTAACAAAATTGCAATAGAACTCTTCCTCGGGACCTTCTATATGGGACCATCTGCTATATGCGACCATCTGCTATAAATTCACTCCTAAATGGGACCATGTGCTATAAATTTTAGTATTATTTTTGGATTTTGTAAATATTAATCTTTTATTCAACTTATGAAGTTGAGTTATAGATCTTATTTTTTAATAAAAAAATAATAAACTATAATAGTTAATTTGTGTCTTATGATTTGTAGGGCATTTTAGTGAGAGTCAATATGATCAAGAGATTTTTCAAGCCGCAAACCTCTTCAAGTTCTACTTCTAGTTCTCCCTCATGTCCAGTGATTATTGACAATGTCAATTCTTCCCAACCATCACACATAAATATTATGTTGGATTCGGATCTTCTTAAACCTGATCCTGGTGAAAGAAAACAAATTTCAGAATTTTCTCCTAATCTACGCGACCGCGTGAGAAGACATTACATTCAAAGAGGGCCTTGTCCGCCTCGCAATTTTTTTTTTTTCAAAAATAAATTTTGGTGGGAAATTGCGTCATTTTAATCCGGAATGGTTTAAAACTTCATATTCTGGATGGTTAGAATACAGTATTAAAGAAGATGCAGCGTTTTGCTTATGTTGTTACTTGTTTAAAAATGAGATTGAAGGATATGGGAAAAAAGTAAGTGATTCTTTTACAAAAGATGATTTTAGGGCTTGGAATAAAGGTATAGAAAGGCTTAACGCACATGTGGGTGAAGTGAATAGTGTTCATAATCGATGTTTCAAGATGATGCTAGATTTATCGAATCAAGCACAATCTATTTTAACATCTTTTGATAAGCAATCCGAGAAAACTAAAAGTGAGTATCGAGTCCGCTTGAATGCCTCAATTGATGTTGCAAGGTATCTTTTGAAAGAAGGAATGCCTTTTCGGGGTCACGATGAGCGTGAAACTTCTACAAGAAGAGGCAACTTCTTAGATCTCTTAAAGTGGTATGCGGATAAGAAGGATGATGTAAAGAAAGTTGTGTTAGAAAATGCTCCAAAAAATGACATTATGATTTGTCCAAGCATACAAAAAGACATTGTGAGTTCTTGTGCAAAAGAAATATTGAAAGCAATTGTGGAAGACTTGAACGGGGATTACTTTGGGATATTGGTTGATGAGTCTAAGGATGTCTCTCATAAGGAACAAATGGCGCTTGTTTTGCGTTATGTCAACAAAGATGGTAAAGTTATTGAGTGATTCCTTAGCATTGTTCATGTTAAAGATACATCCGCAAAGTCATTAAAAGTAGCAATTTGTTCTTTGCTTTTGGAACATTCATTGAGTAAATCTCAAATACGGGGACAAGGTTATGATGGAGCTAGTAACATGCAAGGAGAAATTAATGGTCTTAAAACTTTAATTATGAATGATACTCCTTCGGCGTATTGCATACATTGTTTTGCTCATTAATTGCAGTTGACTCTTATAGCTGTTGCAAAAAAACATTATGAGGCCGAATAATTTTTTGATATTCTTGCAAATGTTTTAAATATTGTTGGGGTTTTTTTAAGCGTAGGGAGATGCTTCAAGATGATCAAGCAGAAAAACTAGAGGAACTACTAGTGCTTGGTGAAGTTCATACGGGAAGCGGTTTAAATCAAGAACTTGGACTTCAAAGGGCAGGTGATACACGGTGGGGTTTTCATTTTAAGACAGTGCGTAATTTTATTAGTTTATTCTCATCAATTGTTCATGTACTTGGAGTTCTTGCAATTGAGGGTTCAAATTATCATGAGAGATCAATGGCAAAAAGTCTAGTGGATGACATAAGATCTTATGACTTTGTGTATATGTTACATTTGATGTTGAAAGTATTGGCACTTACATATGATTTGAATATGGCTTTGCAAAAAAAAGATCAAGATATTATAAGTGCAATGAAGCTTGTTGGTTTCGCAAAGAGACAATTGCAAGATATGAGAGATTCTAGATGGAATTCTTTGTTAGAAGATCGTCTTTATTTTTGTGTCAAGCATGGTATTGTGATCCCCGAAATGGATATGAATTATGCTCGTGGAAAGTCAAAGCGTAAGAAATCAAGTGTTACATATCCTTATCATTTGCGTGTAGAGGTTTTCTATGCTATTATTGATTTGCAACTTTCGGAGCTTAACAATCGTTTTAATGAAATGAATACTGCTCTACTTCTTGGTATGGCTAGTTTAAGTCCAGATAATTCTTTTGTAAATTATGATAAGGACGGGATTATGAAACTTGCTACATCACTATCACAAATGAGTTTACTGATCTATGCTTGAGATCTTTGAGTTTTGAGCTTGACATCTATATTGACTATGTGCCGAGAGGCGGGCATGAATTCTCTAACTTGAAAAGACTTGGAGATCTTTCAGATGACATTGTTTTTAAAACAATTTGCACAAGACTTAGAGACTTGTTTATGTTGCTGTGAAGTTAAGTTTGATATGTTGTCTGTTCGCTGACTGTTTTAGATTTTTTACCATATTTCTCATAATTAAGAACTCTAAATCGGCACTAATTGTAAAGAATTCATCAGCACAGGTGTTTGGGCAATCTATGTCTGACTGTTTATCACGCGACGTTTTCTCTAGTTATTACGAGTAGTAAGTACAGTAATAAATTGAACTTGCGAGCGAGAATTGGTGTGATGATTTTTTATGTTGTTTAGTTTGTTATATAGAGGATGAAGTTATTTGAAAGTGTACCTAATGATGCGATCATTGATCATTTTCAAAACATGACTAGTCGTCGAGTACAATTGTAATGATAATGTTTATATTCATATGTTATCTTTAAGTGTTTTGTTATTTTCTAAATGTACGTTGAATATTGATACTCGTTCCTTAATTCGGTTATTATAATATAGACTTAAAATTACGGTATGAACCCATACACTTCAATTCCTAGATCCGCCTCTGACAGCTACTATTGAGTTTTCTGGAGCATATTACCCTACTGTTACTATGGCTTTAGTAGATATAGCTGAAATTTCTTTTCTACTCTTTGAATATAAGAAGAAAGAAAAATATAGGGATGTTGAACAAATGCAAAATATTTCTTTCCAATTCCTCCGATTTACTTAATTGGTGTTGTTTTAAATCCTTCTATTAAGATGTCTGATTGTCACCAATTAATGAATGTTTTATATACTTATATGGAGATTGGACCAACAATATATATATATATATATATATATATATATATATATATATATATATATATATATATATATATGCTTGTATGAACAAGCTAAATGATTCTTTGCAACAATTATATAATTATTATGCAAATGTATCTGATAATGCTGCTATTAATGTAGGCAATGTTACTCCCACTATGCACTATACCACTTCTACTACTGTGGATGATGATGAAGGCCTTGATAGTTTTAATATTTTTTCTACATTTTCTACACTCAAACCAGTAGCAGGAACATTGATAAACTTCAATTCTACTTGCAAAAGCAAAAAGAGCCTCGCACAAAGGAATTTTCACCGTTGGGATGGTGGCATGAGAATGGAGAGCAATTTCCTGTTCTTTCCGCTATGGCTCGGGACATGCTGAATGTGCCAATTTCAGCTGTTGCATCAGAGAGTGCATTTAGCCAAGCAAGACAACAACTTGGAGACACCCGTCACTCATTGGGAAGCAATGCTTTGAAAGTTTTAGTATGTTTCAGAAATTGGATTAGATCGAAACGAAGAAATCAAACATGAAGATATTGATAGCCCAGAAAACGAGGAACTTGGAGATATATTAACACATGGTAACCCATCCGAATTCAACACTCCAGAAGAAGGCCACTCAGTTCATATTGATTATGACGAACTTGCTAAGGCAATGGAAAACCTTTAAATTTACTCTTTTTTGGTTAATTTACTTGTTAAATGTAAACCTTTCAATTTGTAAGTTTGAATTTTAAAATAAATGTAGCACTTGCAATTAATAAGTGCAAATTTTTTCCCATCTTCACTGTATTCTTTATATTTTTACTTTATATTAATATAACTTACAATAGTTATACAAAATACAACCAAAAAAAAAATTACACTAACCCGGCCCAGCCCGGCCCCTTGTACCTATAACCCTTACGGTTCATTTTTTACCCGGATGAACCCGAACCCGTTAAACCGGTAAGTCCCAACCCGTAACCGGCCCGAACCCCAACCCATACGGTTACTAATTTTTACTACCCAGCCCGGCCCGGCCCGGCCCACCCGTTAGACACCCTTAGGAGGAAGTGACCTGATAGCCCGCTTGGGGGATCCCTTTTAAGAATAACCGAAATTCACAAATAAAAAAGATGTAGCGACTTCAAAATCAACTTCAGACATAAAATTTTCAGACATATGGATCTGAAGTTAGGCTTACCAAAGCCTAACATATAAAATGTCTGAAATTAAGCTTAGTGGTCCGGAATTTCAGACCTGTATGTCTGAAGTTTGAACAACCGAGCCTAACTACAGACCCAAAATGTCTGAAGTTTAACCTTAATGTTGTGTTTCTTTACATAACACAATAAAACTCCAGAAAACACCAGCAATCAGATTAAAAGAGATACCTTCCTAGCAAACACCTAAATGAGCCTTATACCAAACCACCTATATGAAGTGAGTCTTAGTGGTCTAAGACTGCACGGATAACACAAGATTTCAATTTAGTTCACCAGCAAATGATCAAATCCTCCTGCCTGTAGAGCAACACGGCTACCATTAACATTGTGAATCAATTGCTGTAGCCACCTCCTCGTTGTAGGATCCTCCTGTTGAGCATAAGGAAAAAGAACCGTCATGAATATAGAAAAAGAAAACAAGTGTCTGATGAGAGCATAAAGGAATGCATTCATGTTCTTAACTAAGAGAAAACTAAGAGCTCAGCCAAAAAGATGAACCACTTAAATGAGAAATGTACATACACGAAGACAACTACTGAAGGTGGCATCCCTAAGCATATCAGGGAGACAATTTCTTAGTGCATCACATGCCCTGCCATAAACCATGAACATCAGCATTCGCTCACAGTGCAGCATAAAAGGTGGAAGCTCCGTGAAACCAGATCTGTTATGCATAACAGAGCTGAAAGGATATTTTAAATGCTGATTTGCAGAAGTCTCACCTTGGATTATCTGACAACCGAAGATAGCACCTAATTATGTGCTTCAGTAATCTTGATGAAGGCTGTTCAGCAAGTGCACCTACCATACTCCCTAAAACTCGGCCGACTGCAAAAAACCTCTCTGCTGTGGTACATATGTAATCCAGACCCACATCATCTAGAAGTATTTTTTGTACAATGAAAGTTGCAACCTGTCAGCGTGACTCCAAAATTAGATGCATGAAAAGCTGATACTTATGGAGAGAGGATGTAACTGGTAATAATACAAGAGAATGTAGAAACAAGAAAGTTTTCATAACGAGTAGAATGTAATTGTGCGGCACAAATTGTCTTTGTTTTGGTATCTGAAGAGTCTGTTGAAGACATCATGAGTATATAACCAACATAAATTTCAGTTACAAGTTAGGAAAGAAAGGCTTTGGGGAAGCACTCAACCGTTTTTGACAGTTCACTGCCCATCTCCATTGTGCGCAGACACAAGGGAATTATTTCTGTTGATAGTAGAAAACTGATTACTTCAGTATCATCTACCTGCAAAGAGACAATCAAATAATAGACTACATTAAATTTTGGAGTAAAAATGGAGAAGCACAAATGCGACCAGATGCACGTGATGAATATTGCACTTTAATAAACATGAAATTTCAGAAGCAGACATATAAAAAGTTAATTGCCATATGTTTATTATTTCCCATTTTCGACAATGTTTCTAGATCCCATAAGTAGCATCTTCGGAATCTCGAATTGCACTGGTCGCGGTTTCCTTCTCGTGGTTTCTTTCTCATGGTTTCAGTGATTCCCAGTACATATAGTATAATGTGACATGAATGAATCTTAATATAAATACTGAAAGAAGAGAAAGTATGCGTGAAATACATTAGAAATGTTACCTTCACAAGGGCACCAATGACACCTAAGCTAGTAAGCCTCAAATATTCAAAAGGTCTTGATTTGCTTGTTGTATTTAGAAAAGGGTACAAATACAAGGGAATATGTGCTGCAAAGTAAAGAACATGTGAAAGCATTTCATCAGATTCAGAGAGAGTAAAACACACCCAATAGATCACAATTCCTAATTATCATCACACTAAAGTTGGGCAGATCTTGGGAACACATCAAGAATACAAAGTGCATCTAAGATTCTTTAAGAAGAGTACGATGATAAGGGAATATGCATTGCAAAGTAGTATACAGTTGAAGCATCGTCAAATAAAGAGAAAGTAGAAATTCATGAGCTTTGACCAAATAGTCCTTTAAGTATCACACTTCAACGAACTTAATCCTCTGAATATCACCTTAAACGGATATATTTCTCCAAGTATGTAAAAGTTGACCATCTTTGCTCTCAAACCTAACGTGCCAAGCAACTTAATGATCTGCAACATCACGCGTGTCACATGACTAACCTCAATAAAATCCTAGCTAACAAACCATATTTGAAAAACAACCCTATTTTGCTCCAATCTGGGAGCCCTAAAATTATAAAACATGACCACCACGACCGAAAGTAAAAATAGAAGGTGCAACAGAAAGGTTCCTCTATGCCATTACTGCTCCCCTCAGAAGTTCCTATTTATACAGTTACGTATATGCGTTATTTAATCTGCTAAACTGAAATCACGAGTTTTCAACTCATTGGAGAGAAGTGGAATACATTCTCTGCTGGTTGTTGATTTGACAGAGTCCATACATAAATTAATCATAAAACCTTAAATCACCCATCAGTAACCAAGTCTCAAATCTGTGATACCGATACTTTCATGTTCATATCCAATTTTCATTTTCTTTTGAAAAAGAAAACGATACGGAAAATGAGCCTGCCTTCGAAGCTTCACTGGTGAAATTTCCGTATCCTCCTTGGCACAGAGACAAATGCAGAGAGATCATCCCTGAAGCACCTGACCAACTGAATACCCTTAGGCATAATGGTAACCCTTGACCCTTCTAGCATGAATGGCACACAAATTGTTACCCTCAAAGGGACCAACCAAGTAAGCCTCAGCATCCTCAAGTGCTGCCGCAGCAGCGCTCTGGGATCTAATATCACTCAAAGTCCTACGCGATTTTTTGACCAGCCTCTGGGAGGAGAGCTTCCATATCAGAACTCAATGCTCTTGTAGTACTTATGGATCTCCCCGAGGGCTACAGAAGCAAAACAGTAGGG